TTAAAAAGTCTTAAATTTAACTTTCCTGGAACTGTAGGAAGCCTGTATTTCACCAAATGATCTTCATCAGAGGCTGAAATGGCTGCATCTTGATGTAATTATAAGAAGCAGATTATTTTACAGAATTCACAGACTGGATTTAAATCAGGGGAGTGGGGTGTGTCTAAGTGTGTGTCTGTGGAACTGCAGCAGTCATTTTCTATTGTTGTTTTTTATAAGTGATGTTTGCTAAATGCTAACATTGAAGAAAAAAGTGATTAATAAAACCAGGCTAATATTGCTAATGATGATTTATTTGGAACACTCCTCTGTTGGTTTTATTTCTGACGTGTTTCTTTTGTTGCATCTTCTCCAGCTTTATGGAAAACGTTGCCAACATCAAATCCAATCAGATTAAACAACTTTTGTTTTCTTTTCAATGACWTTTAATTGAACTWGTTTGCAAATMGTTGCGTTCTGTTTATGAACTGACGCAGCAAACGCTCAAATCACTTGTTTTCTCTTTCTCTCAGAAGCATAAGTTAAACACCCAGCTCCTAATCTGTCTTCTGTTCCTACATCTTGCTTCTCTCTGGATTATTGAGCTGCTAAYGAGATTATTAACCCCTGAAAGCTGCTGTGTGCTGAGTAGGGTTGGGCATAATCGTATCATGTGCAATTAATCGTCAGAAAAACATTAATCGATTACTTTTTGGCACTTGACGATTAATATGATTAATGCCACCAGGCAGAGTCCTCTCGCTGCTCCTTTATACTTCAAATATGATGAACATTTTTTAAAATAGTTCTGTAATTTATTTATCTATCAACACAATTTAAAATTTGATGTACAGCCTGAAATATGTAGTTTTGACATAATTTGGAACAAATTTTGTATGAAGAGCAAATCTTTCTCACTAAATTGGTCATGTGACCAGGACATAAGGGACTCCAGGGGATTAATCGTCAAATTAATCGTTATCGGCCAAATAACACAATTAATCGTGATTAATTTTTTTGCCAATATTGCCCAACCCTAGTGCTGAGAAAAGCAAGCCGATGAGTGTGAAGTGATGAGAGGCGACCTGAGAGGTGTTGAATGTTTTGATGATCTGCTCTGATGACTAACRCTCTGTTTCTCCCTCATAATGCTGTCGGATAGTTTACAGTCAGTGCAGCGTTCAGCTAGCATGCCTGTCATCAGGTAAGGAGAGCTCCTGGGAGCGCAGCACGTAGAGTTACATACAGAGCAGACCACAGCATGTTTGAGTTAGTCTGCATGAAACAAGGAGGTCTGAGAGGAGCGTCTGCTATCAGCGACGCCGCAGCTTCACTAATCTCACTCAGCCAGGCGGCCGTTCGGTCGGGCTCGCAGAAATCTCACCAGAAGTTTGGAGATAAAAGTCGAGGCGGACAAACYGAGCAGCATCTGGCTGGATGAGGTTAATGAACAACCTGAACATTCAATAATTTATCAGTAGTTGATGTTAAAACTTAGGTAYGATTTGTGATTTGGAATAAAAAAAAACAATCTACTGCTTTCTCTTCACGGCTAATTTTTTTTATTTCAGTTTTCAGTAAAAACATTTTTATGAGGTCACTTTCCTCCACTAAAAGTCAAACCTCTTTTTCAAAGAGAAAATATTTAATCTCTATTTTAATCCAGATTATGTGTCAGAAAAATGCAGTCACTCATGTCTCTTTCTTTTGCCTTTCACAGGAATGCACCGACTTTTAAGTCATTTGAGGAGAAAGTTGAAACACTGAAGGTAACGTATTAATGAAGTCTGAGCTGTAGAAATTCACAAAGAGCTAGTTTTATTGTTTTAAGAGTTGAAAGTTACGTGTAGATGGCTGTTTGAACAACCTCAGTGTGGATAAACCGTCCAAAATGCATCACTGCCTTCTTAAACAACCTAAATATAAAACAGTTACTCTGTTAGAAACAAGGAAGCTGCTGTTTGTGCTTCTGTATTGTTTAAAGATGATAGAAACCCACCTYGACTCAGACTAGTTGTTCTCGTCAGAATTAAACTTGATTTTCCCAAACTGAGGTCGTTCAAACATATTATTTGTTTATAACCTCTCCACAGAAGTTCACATTTAAAATATCTGACTGACTGAAGAGAAGATAAACTTTACTGTTTTTATATTAATGATTGTCAGAATGAGGAGAAATGTTGAGTTTATTGGAAATAAAGATGTTATATTTCACAGGTTGTGTTTTTTATATTGTTGTGAGGACATTTCTGGTCATTGTTAGGATGTAGAAATGAAGGGAAGTCCCCACAAAGGTAGTAAATGAATGAATAAATCAGCTCATTTTCTGTGGATCATTAAAGAAATTTCTCTCCTCAGACTAAGATCACGCCCCCCGGTGGTCCCGCCAACTCAGACAGCAGCGCTCCCCAGACCTCCGAGTCTTTGATCAACGAGTCCGAGGACTCCCCCACCCAGGACACGCCGACGCACTGAGACTGACCCACTGACCTTTTGACCCCTGCCCCCCTCTTTAACTGTGATGTGCCAGTTTCTCTCTCTGTGAAACCAGTGACTTCCAGCCTTCAGCACTCTGATTGTTCGCTCTCTCCTCCCCAACACGCGCACTCGCCTCTTCGCTTTCAGGGGAAACTGAAAGCCCGGGACGGGTCGTGCGCGTGGCTTCATGTGCGCCGTGTTTATTAAGAGTCACAGCGAGGAGCAGAAACCCTYCTTCATGTTGAGCTTCTTTCTTTTTAAATCCATTTTTGTTGCACTTTGTTCTTGTCTGCCTTTGTTTAACCAGCCAAACACTCTAGTATATATTTTTCTTTATTAAATTAACAATCAAATGTAGAAAAAGTTGCACAAGAGAAGTATTTACGCTTTTTCTTTTTTTTTTTTTACGTACGAATCAGATAGTTTACAGCCTTGTTTGTTATAAAAACTGGTGTCATGTCTACAGTTTGGGGTTGTTCCTGGTTTGCTTTGGGTTTTTGTCCAAAACCGTGAATGTATCWTATTGTGTCATTTAAACACTGTAGCTGCAGCTCAGATTTATGGGTCAGATTCTCCACTGTGTTTGTGAAACTACTGACGAGCTTCAGATTAAACCCCCTCCTCCTCCTCTCTGTTCGTTTGACAGAAAGTGGTCCCCTCGCTTAGAAAGCTCCAGGAAAACAGCCAAGATCAGCAGAGCAGTCAGAGCAAACAAGGCGTCAAGGTCCAGCCTTGACCCGAGGTGCGAACCAAATAAATGTTTCTCCCCGCAGCCGGCCAAGATCAATATTTAAACACTGGAGCTTTTGTTTCTGAGAGGGAGGTGAYACCTACCTCCTCGTGGGTTACAGTAAGAGGAAAGATTGTAAAGTTACAGCATTTCCTGTGATATTTCCTTTTTTTTTGTTATTTTTAAATCAAGGAAACTTTCAATTGTTGCGTCCTTATCGACCAAACACCTGCTCCATCAGTAGAACCGTTAATATCTGCCTCACGCTGCTTTTTATTAAWGTCTCAAAATGCCAAACAAAAGCTTCACCATTTGGCTCATGTGCAACGTAAGAAACAAGGTTAAAACTAGCCCATTTGAACACATTTAAGTTTAAATGTTAATACTTTTCCTTCTGGATAAAACGGGTGCAGGTCCTCCTCTGCTGGTGGACAGAAGGCTCAGCAGATATGCAGTGTCAAAATGTTTTCTTCTTAGATTAATAATAATAATAAAATCTTTAACACAATCTGTGACTTATTTTTGCTGATTTTTATATCCTTTTTTTGTTCTGCAGAGAAAACGAATAAAAAGCATTTAAACTGGACTCTGAAGTCATGTGGTAGGGGTGTGGAGTTCAAAATTGTAAAAAAAAAAGGTGTCACGTGCCTCTTTGATCAGAACAATAAAGTGTCAGATTATTGAGTTTAAACTGAGCTGATTCAGGTGCAGTACCAACTCTGAACACGTGAGGGYGCTAAAGGACAAACGACACAGATTAGATTATTTTTATTTTTAGTTTCCCAGCAGACTGGCTGGAGCCGGGGCTGGCTGCTGCTGCTGCTCTCAAACTGCTGTGTTTACTATCTGAAACAGAGACTCTGCAGTAAAGTTTAGGTTATTTCAAAAAATAGATCCTAGTTTTATTTATGGTTTGGTGTTTTTGTGCAACAACCACAATTTAAASGTATTTTAGGCGCCCCCTTATTTTGGATGTTGGCATTTTAAAACTATTGCACAAGCTGAAGTCTTGTTTCAAGTTGTGGCAAATGAATCACARTTGCATAATTATAAAAGACCTGTCAGAGAAGAGAAAGTTTAATTAGCTTGAGTTATTTTTTGTAATTAAAAATACTTAAATGAAAACAAATATTCCTCTAGTTATTGTGGAAGTTTTATAATTGTTGAATTAGATGCTCTTTTCTGAGCTTCTTCTCTTTATTATTATAGACCCAGTCTAAACTGTCTTTACCAGTTTCCAAAATAAAATAAAATAAAAAAAAAACAAGTTGACAATCGTTAACAAAGAGCTGCCAAAAAGTCTTTATTCAGTTATAACCAGATGCTGCAGAAACTTCTAGTCACATAAATCTCTTTGCAGAAAAGTCTAAACCAGTTTAACCAACAACGACACCGGAACGCAAACATTTCATTTACAAGAAAGATGGCAGGTTTTTTTTTTAATTTCCATTTTCTTTCTTTTTTTTAATGCACAGAGGAAAAAAAGAAAAACATTACAGGTAACAGTCTGAGATTCTTCTCGTGAAAAACAAAAGTCTTTTATATATCGATAGAATCCATTTGATAATATTGTAAAGAATATAGAACACTGAAGGTGCGATAGAATATACATTTCATGTGAGAGAACAGCTATTTATCATCTAAATATTGCGGTTATTGTGCGTGGTGGGTTGTGTTAATAAAGACGAACTCAGTGTGCGACAGCTGTGTGTGTGTGTGAATTATGGAGAAGCAGACTGGTTTAAATGTGCAGAAGAACATTCAGTTCCAACATGGCTTTGTGTGTGTGAGGTTCAAATCCCAAATCACTCTGGGATGAATATTTTAAATCTTTTTTTTTTTCTTTCTTTCAAAATACTGATATTTCCTGTTGAGGTGGAGGATGTTTGATGCCTCATTAGTATCAAAACAAAGAGTTAAACATTGTTTCTGACCTACCAGCATCTTTAAAGACACAAACACAGATGCTAAAAAAGGAAAACTGTGATTTTTAATGCGCTAGCTCCAGGGTCCTTAGTTCCCAGGTCAAACTTTAAAACCTCTGTTAATTTGTTCAAAATGTTTTAAAGCTTTAAAGCAGCTACATTCGCACAAGAATTCCCTAACTGACCTGAAGCTTCATCAGCATCAGATCCTGGAAACTTAAACACAGGACCGCAGGAAGCATCGTGACAAGAAAGGAGTTTGATTGTTTGTCCTTAAAGAAAAAGAGATTTTGGAAACAACTTTCAAGAACTCCAAACAGAAATCATACAGAATGACCAGGAGAACATTTAGAACCTGAAGAACCATGAGCCACAGAAATCAAATTGTAAACAAGAACGAAGACATTTTTTCAGTTTAATTTCAACAAAACTTTCAAAAGACAGAACAGGGAAGGTTCTTTGTTAATCTGYCGGTCACTGCCTTTAGAGACAAAACATTTAGCTGTTAAAACCTGTAGGTACGACGAGGGTTYAGATCCACTCAGGAGAAGAAAAAATCATTAAGACGGAAGATTTAATTTGATTTTTTTTCCTCGTTTTAAGATTAAAGTCTAAATATTAAAACAAAAAGTGATGTTATTTTATACCCTAGTATATAAAAGTGCACCTTGAACCCTCAGATCCAGCTGGTTTAGGAAGCACAGCAGGGTTAATTACCTCAAACTTGGTCTTAATAAACTATTTTAACTTTAAACCTGGAAAAACAACTTAAAAATAAAAACATACTTTTGTTTGGGGCTCCAATAAGCCAGTTCTCGACACGAGCTGAACGGTTTTAAAGTTCTACTTTAGATTCAGGTTAAATGTTGAATTATGATGCTGACGTAGTAACGAGKGTCAAAACTAGAGGTTGGGTTATGCAAATGAGAGCGTGCAGCTGATGAGTTGTGATTGGTGGAACAAAAAAATCAGCTGGATGCTGATTGGCTGTCATAACTTGCACAAACAAACAGACAAACAAACTTCTTGGCGGAGGTAATATTTAATGGTGTAATTTAAAGATGCTGGTAGGTTGTTTTAGTGTTAGCAAGGCTACGCTAGCAATAAAAACATTATTTCTACTGAGTCAAGCTAACAGGCTAATGAGTTTAGCTAAGTGCTTAAACTCATTTTGAGTTTAGTCGGTTATCAGTCTTTATCTAAAGTGACAGAAATGTCAGTAAACATAAAATCTGCAACAGTTTGAGCAAAAAGTGCCTTATTATTAACCAGTTTTCATCCTGCTGCTCTTTTCTTCGATAAAAGTGAGCCTGGAGATTATTAGCATAGTCACATTTGGGGCATTAAAATGGAGAATCAATAGATTTAGTTTTTAAATAAAAGCCAATTTCTGCTGTTTGATTCAAAGTTAAGTTTGTTTTGATTTCAGGTTAGCTTTATTGCTCTTGTGAAACAGAATCATGCTTTTTAAAAGTGATTCTAGCTAGCTAACGTCATTAAAACTTCCTGACATTAATAGATTAGAYTCCTCTTTATGTCAACTTGCTGCTTAAAGACTTTCCGTCAGAAGAATGGCCAACGATCACAGCATCGTGCAAAACGCCACCGAGCTGAAAGCGTGCGCGAGCCGGGCCCGAGTTCCTCAGTTACACGTAATTCAGGGATGAAGGCCGAGGCTCGGCACACAGGCTGGTGTGAAAAAGTAGCAGTAGCTTATCGTGCTTTGTCAGAATACTAGCTAATAACGTGTGAGGTATGACAGCTTGAGCATTGAAATGTTGCATTATGGCTGTAGGGTGGGCTTCTTTGGAGGGGGTTTCCTGCACAAACGCTCAACACAGACCTGCAGACAAACCAGGGAGGAGGCGCAGCGGCTGCACCGAGCAGATGGGATGTGCCTCAGGCGGTCAACTTGAAAACACACTCCCGTCATATCTCACCGATGCAAACGGCACATCATCCCCCCCGAATGAGACCTGAAGCCACGGGGACATATGTTGGGCAGCGAGGACACAAGCCGGTCCAAAATGTTCCTGTGTGTTTGTGCTGCTGAAAGACGGGTGATGAGTTGGCTGCGTGTTGTCCCACTTCATCAAAACCGACAAACGCTGCCGCCAGTTAAATACTCTGATGACAGAGGAGGCTAACACTAAGATTCTTAACCAGCTTTCTACATTTATTTACATCAAAATGAGAATAAAAAGAGCAGAAAGATGATTCGAGGCTTTAAGAGACCCGTATTTAGTTTCAGGGTTGGAAAACTTACGTAAATGATGCTGATTTGATTGATAATGTAATTTGGTTTTTTTTGCACGGTAGCATCTGCAGACATCTGGTTTTTTTTAAAGGTACAATTTACAGATGTTCATCTTCAAAATCAAGCTCAAGGTTTTGTTTAAATCCTTGATTAGATCGTTTTAAGAACTGTTTCTGCAAAGTATCTTTCACCACTGAAGCTAAAACCGTCCCTGTTCAGCGCAGAAATCAGTTGTTTATCTGTCCCGTCGTGTTCATCTACCCCCCCGGGTCAACGTCAGACAAGTGTGTTCATATTTCACAACCCAACTGGGCCAAAACTGGAGCAAACCCAGAGAAGGAAAATAGGCTGCATGTAGAAACAGGTGTACAGTCCGGGGGACACATATAAAACATTTACATTTAGAGGCTTTAAAAAATAATGGTAAAAAAAAAMCACAATATCGTGTGGAGAGGGTGGAGAGCAGCCGCTGCTAATCTGCAGGTTTTTATCAGTTTATGCTAAAGCTGGTGTCTAACTGGACTGCTGGTGACAAAAATACGCACATTTTTACTTGGAATTACAAAGTTGGTATTTATGTTTGCCTAAGTATGCAACTACAAATCATTTTTTAAAGTGTTTCACATTTCAGACACTTTTTCAACACACAAACAAAGATTGGTTCTGGATGTCCGCAACGACTCCGTCACTCATTTTTTTTGTAATGGTTGCTTGAATTGTTTCGAACATGTTCACATTTTCAGCAACACGAGAGCGAGGCTCTTCCACTCTGCCCTCTAGAACAATTAGAAACATATTTTTCCTCATAAATATGTTTTACTCTTTTTATCACCACCAGTCCTCCACTGATCGTCTTCTATAGACWMTAATTTAAATTATCTGTGAMGTCAAATTTTTGTAATAAACATGAATGCATTTTTGGAAAGGTAACCCTGATAACATATTGCAAATAAAATTTCACGCTGCTGAGATGAGCAGCTGTTGAGATATTTACATGTGAAGAAACAGGAAGTGATGTAAAAGGGGACTGTCRATGTGAACAGTGTTACTACAATAACAGACTGTAGAGAATAATGTTCCTTTAAATTATTTCGAGTCACTATCAGAAATGTAAAAGAGTCAGTTTACATAATATTTTAACAAAAAATGTTTTCTTTCTTGAGTTCCCCTTTGATGTCACTTCCTGTTTTACTTTACTGAGCCAACTTCAAAAGAAAACGCGCCCGTTATGTGACAAAATAGGTAAAATTGTGTAATTTGCAAATTTTATTTAATTTAAAGATGTTTTATTTGACTTTTTATATTTGGAGGATGCATGTCACAGGTACTTTAA